GCCCGTGATAATCAAATGTTCACAAACAGAGCTAGACGCTGTTTACTAACTGCGGTCGCATACGACCCACTCGTCCGGGTCGCAAACGACCCATCACGGTTTTTCGGCTATTACTTCTGAAACAAAGACGTTAGGATAAAATAAAAACTGTAGCACAAGTTAAAAACGTATGGTCAATACTGTGCGACTCTAACTTTTCAAAAATAGAGAATTTGGGTCATTAACGACCCACTCGGCTCACTTGCTTATTACTATATTTGTCCATGTAACTTCTTGAATTCAGCCTAAAACATGACATCATAAGTGCAAAATCGCCTCTCAGCAAGTGACTATCATCATAAACTGCGAAAAATCGGTTAAATGGGTCATTAGCGACCCACTAGGACCACAAAATTGATTAATTAAATATAATGTTGTCAAACTTTTACAAATATTAGTATAAAAACATATTATATCTTTGTCATTACTCCTGTACGTTGATTTAACTTCTTAAATCGATCAAATGGGTCAATAACGACCCACTCGGAAGTTGAACCACTTCATTAATTATCATGCTGTTCCACCATCAAGAAAGACACTCGTAGGTCTTAATTCCACACAAACCACGGTGGCTGACAACTAGCCCTTCTGAGGGCCAACTGAAGGGCAGTCATCACTCATCAAAGAGCTGCGAGAATAACACGACTGCATATGCCTGGAGTTGCGTCCTGACTATGGTGCGTGGAAATCTGTACCGAAAGGACCGTGGCCGTGTCGCAAAAGAAAAGTTGATCGGCCCTCGTTCCTAACTTACTAGGTAATAGCCATGCTGTTGTTGTTGCTTATTAGATTCTGTTACCTTTTTCGTCAATTTCGAATCTTTGCAAACGACCTGCTACAACTCACCGCTTGAGACCCAGGGTCCCACGGTGATCAGATCATGTCACTCAAGAAAAATCCCCTGAACGAAGTTTACGAGATATCCTGTAACCTTGGGTAAATACTGAAAGAAGAGCGGTCAAATTGCATATTCTAATCCAACATGCCAATCTGTTTGACATTCCTAGAAAGTACAAGAATAACTAAACAACTGCTGCATTCAGATGGCTAAATTTACATCTCTGTGAAGAAGGACAAGGAAAAAGCCCCCCCCCCCCCCCCCCCCCCCCATATTCTGGCTGGCGGTGCTGCAACCTGCAATCTCTCAGACAACTACTTCGTTGTGGGTAACAACCCCGCAACAACGAGGCAGCTTTCAAAACGAAACCAAGTATTACGTAATCGGCCGAGAGGGAGGGGGGTTTCCAAATGATTACGCTAGTGTAATTTTGACACAATAGCTATGTAGTGGGGTGTGGGGGGGGGGGGCCGGGGCTAAAAATTGTCCAATAAGTGATTACGTAATATTATGTCAATGTGAACGGCCCCTAAGAAGTAAAGAAAGGAAGCTGCGAAATGAGTAGATGCAGCCATCTGAAATCTGAATCCAGCAGTTGTATACTAGTTGTATACAATGTATAGTTCTTCTTGGACTTTTTAGGAATCGGGAAAAGATAGGCACGTTGTTTGTTGTCCCACGACATTATGGTCGTGTACTAACAGCTGATAAACTCACCTACCTATCAATCCAATTCTGCCCATTATTCGTCAGTGATTGGGTGACGCGATCTGCAGATAACCTTGAGACTCCAGATCTCAGGAGGGCTAGTGGTCATCCACCCGTGGTTTGCGTGGAATTAAGACCTACGAGTGTCTTTCTTGATGGTGGAACAGCATGATACTGATAATTAATGACGTGATTCAACTTCCGAGTGGGTCGTTATTGACCCAGTTGATCGATTTTAAAAGTTAAATCAACGTACAGGAGTAATGACCAAGATATAACATGTTTTTATACTAATATTTGTAATAGTTTGACAACATTATATTTAATTAATCAATTTAGTGGTCCTAGTGGGTCGCTAATGACCCATTTAACCGATTTTTCGCAGTTTATGATGATAGTCACTTGCTGAGAGGCGAGTTTGCACTTATGATGTCATGTTTTAGGCTGAATTCAAGAAGTTACATAAACAAATGTAGTAATAAGCAAGTGAGCCGAGTGGGTCGTTAATGACCCAAATTCTCTATTTTTGAAAAGTTAGAGTCACACAGTATTGACCATACGTTTTTAACTTATGCTACAGTTTTTATTTTATCCTAACGTCTTTGTGTCAGAAGTAATAGCCGAAAAACCGTGATGGGTCGTTTGCGACCCGGACGAGTGGGTCGTATGCGACCATAGCTGTATCTTTTAAAGTAAACGAGATACAGATTAGCTTTTTTGGATATCTCATTTTTGCTGTAATGTGACCTAGTGTGTTAAACGGCATCAAAATCGGCAAACTTTAAAACTCGTCGTCCCTAATGGGTTAATATCCTATGTTAAGATCCCATAACACTGCACTAAGTCACTGGCAAGTAGCTCAGGATGTTTAATGCAGTGTCCCGCCATTTCTAATCTCCTGATTCGTTGCTTGTTTGACAGGCTTGGTAGGCTACCATACAAAGTTATATTGCTGACCTTGTATTGCCCTTCCAAAAGATACACAGCACCATCGGCCAGCCAGTCGCCAAATACTGTAATATTAATAAAACGGAATTATGGCATATTATCTTCTTAGATGACACTTAATACAGCTCTTCCGTACACACGGCTACACTCAGCTCTGTTCACACCGCTCCCATTTGACATTACACATTCCACTGTAATTAGCGTTACTGTAAGAATAATTTTCAAATGTGTGGTAGCTGGCACGTGCGCGCGGCTCATCATTAACCATTGCAAAACCCACCCTAACCGCTGCCGCTCTTCTTCCCTCGTTGCTATGGCAACAGACCCCTGACTCAGGAAGAAGGTGAGGGATATCGTTTACTGGCGTGCATATTACTTCATTTATTTAGTGGTCCTTCGTTGTTCTTTTTTAACAGTAACTATTAGTCGAAAACCGCTATAGAGAATCAAGAGACGCCAGATCTCATTGCCCTCTGGTTTATAAGAATACCTGATACAGATAATAATAATATATTTTCCTAATATCTGCACAGTGTTTGGTGATCAAACACCTCTTTCGAGGATTTGCCATCACTTTTAGTTTTCGACTTATGGTACGGTAACTTTGTTCAAATCACTCACTTCCCCGCCTGTTTACGAAGGGCCGTTTTTTTGCTTTGTTTAATCAAAAAATGGTTTAATTTGTATCATTATGATCTCTAACACCCTATAACTACTGATGAATGTTTATTATTATTGACAATATATGTAGGGTGAATGGTTGCCGAGCGTGCTAAATCACTCTACAGTCAACCTTCAAGATTTTTCTAAAAAGCCCCCCGACAGTTGGAACGCTGATTCCGAATCACCCCTCATGACATTAAAATGCTCCCCTGGCGAGATATTGGCGAATAGCTGTCTTGATCACGTGATATGTCCATTATATAATGAAATTGTTCAAATATCTCGTTCTAAAGGGTTAGGGTTTTGGCATATGCTTTTGTTAGAGATTGGGTTGGATTAGGGTTGGAATCAGATTATAGGGTTATTCATGGCCACCTAGTGAACAGGTTTCAAAAGTCACGTGACAGTCGAGTGTAGAGTGATTAATCATCATCCAATGATTTCAGCCATCTACATATTATTTGGAGATCCCCAGGGTGCCTGTATCCATCTAAACGATGGTACCGGTTACCGGTACTCTTATAGGGTGTGAGACTCAACGACGTAAGACTCTACGGCGGCGCAGTAGAGACTAGGACTCTACGGCGGGAAATATTTGTTTCATATTTTCGATCAAAATAGATAGAATTCCATATCAAATTAGGGTGCCCATGGTTACAGGAAATGTTCTTCGAAAGTAAGCTTTTATCTCATCAAGAAATATTTATCTTGACCTATGATACAGCCGATGAAATGAAACACTGATTTGAACACATAGCGGGTTGAACTTATCTGAAAACGATAGTCATACTGTACTATACATTATAGATATTCCTGGGTCGTTAATATCATGCAAACTTTCAAATGTAAACAGCGAGTGCATTTAAGAGTGTCTAAAGCCGTAGAGTCCGGACGCCGAAATGAATTGTTTTGAATAAGTTCAAGCAAATTCAGCCAAAATCTGTGTTGTTATTTCTTTGACTCCAGAAACTTCCTAAAAGTAAACCCATGAGTATATTTATTTGACCTTTTAAAAGCAACTTATGGTCTGAACAGAGCTGAAGGGTACCTTAGCAACGCCACAGCAACACCATTGTAACGCCATAGTGGGCCCCTAGCAACATCGTAGCAATTCTTAGAAAATAAAGCTAAAAGACAGGAAGCTGCTGTAATATACCTGACAATGATAATTTCTATTTGTAGCACACCTTGACACACGTTGCTGCACTTCTAAAAATTGTCTGCATGAGTTCTTAATAATTCTTATTAGTTCTTCCTAATGAGACAGACTTCCTATCGTATCTATACAAAGCCGTGTTTAGCCGGACAAGTATAAACGTCATAATATGCTAAAGTAAATCAATGCTGACAGATCCAGACGCGATGATACATACAAAACTACTTAGAATTGCTTAAAGATGACTCGTTTCCATGCATACGGGCAATGTAATTTGAGGTCTGTGGCTGAACCCATTCACTCTACCTATATTTTCAAAAGTAATCTATGTTACTAGTAACAATAGGGTGGATGGGATTAAAATCATGCAAATTAAGCCATTTTTTAGTAAAAAGCAGTGAAAGTGAAATATCATGACAGTTTTCAGTAATTGTTCCTCACCGGCAAGTGTGGATCCGACCAGCTCCTTGACAGAGGTCCGGATTTACGTACAACCAACGAAAGGTTGTTTTTAAAACTTTGTTTTGATTCGTCGCATCATCCCATGGAAGCAATTGATCTAGATTGGGCGGAACTGTCGGGCAGAACTGTCAGTAGTTACATATAATGAGATTTTAGTGACGATGTAGTTTATTATACGATCGTCACTAAAATCTATCTTTGGATTGACCGCTGATTTTGGCAGCCAGCTGAATTGCAAAACCTTTTACTCTTTAACATATCATAACCTCAACTAAAATACTTACTTGTCTGTCTTTTCGGCTATATTTATGAAATTATATCAATATCTATCGTAACTGTGTTACTTCAACTTGCGCGTAACCATGGCAATTGGTTACGTGGTGTGTTACTCTGATTATGGCTCATCATGTTTGTTATTAATGCTGCTTATTTCGTTTTTAATGTTTTCAAAACTTTGTTTAACCCTTTCCCTATCATTTTAGCTAAGTTCTATCTCTCCCAGCTCCCTCGTCGAGATACTTCTTTTTGTCAACTGTGACGGGCCCGCTCAAGGTAAAATATTCACTATCACAATATTAAGTTTGCTATAAAATTTGCAGATCAGCTTGCGAGAGCCACAAACAGTGTTTTTAATGAAATATGTCTATAACTTGGGAGTAAAAGGCCACTGAAATTTCGTATCGTCTAACCTGAACAAGCGATCAGTTTGGAAAGAAAAACCGTTTGATTCATTCTGTCTTCTGATTGGCTGAAAACTGTATACTACATTTTTTATCTTTTTACAACCCCCCATTTACAGATGGCCGCGGAGAGAGCAGTAAAGACAGAAGCTGAAGAGGACGATATAGAAGCAGGAGGGTCATTACGTATGGAATAAGTGAATCTGACGATGAGAAAAAAAGCTGCTGAAGTTTTTGGTGAGATAAACGAGAAACCTGTCGTACGTGCGATTACTCGATAGTCGATAAGTTACCAAACTTTTCTGGCTTGATTAGACGATATTTTCTGACAATCTTGGATATTATTACAGCCTAGCTGTTATACTTTTAGTTTAATACCATCCTCTAACCCCTCCGGCCTCCATACTCGATATTATGTTATTATTTGTAAAATTAGTGATATCCCAGGTTTAAAGCTAATGGTACTGGTAGTTTTGCTTTTGGTATTTGAGACGGACTTTGGGAACTAAAACTTTCTTTGAAAACCCCTCTAAACAGGTAAAACTGCATAGTTAGTGTGTCACTCAAACATTGGGGGGGGGGGGGGGGGGGGGGGGGCAACCATATTAAAGTATATTAAAATATAGGATTTTTTCCGATTTTGACCCGGATATCTCCTTGGAGGCCTACATCAACAATTTTTGCCGGCACAATAAGCTTGAAATGCAATTCTTAATCGATTCCAAAAAGTTCTTGCAAAAATATTGAAAACTGATGGAGCTATTTCAATTTTAATAAAGTCATAATTTTGGCTAGTATTCCGAACCGAGATAATATTATGTGCAATTTTCCCAATTTTTTTTCATAGAGGTCTTTTTACTTAGTAATCACTATATTCAACAAACACTGAGGTATATCTTTCACATAGAGTTAGTCTCATTAAAAAATATTGAAGTTTGATCGAATTTAGGCAAAAGCAAATTTGGGCAAAATCGTATGCCCAAATGTGGGCATATTTTTAAAGCTCATAACTCAGCCAATTTTTGACCAATTTGGATGTAAATCCATGTACTAGTCCTAAAACAGGCTTATCTTGCGAATCTAAGCGAAAAATATAGTTCATCATGTAAATCTTAACGAAGAATATAAATATTCTAATTTTTTCCGATTTTGACCCGGGGATATACTTTATATTGCTGACCTTGTATTGTCCTTCCAAAAGATACACAGCACCATCGGCCAGCCAGTCGCCAAATACTGTAATATTAATAAAACGGAATAATGGCATATTATCTTCTTAGATAACGGCTACACTCAGCTCTGTTCACACCGCTCCCATTTGACATTACACATTCCACTGTAATTAGTGTTATTGTAAGAATAAGTTTCAAATGTGTGGTAGCTGGCACGTGTGCGCGGCTCTAGTCATGCCATAATTTTATAGTCACGCACAAATTCATTCATAAAATGTATCCGAAAGTTTTATATAAACCACACTCACTTCAGCATATATTTCTATATTTTACCGCGCTCTCGGGCGTGCCGATCAGCCGATGGGGCAGGGCGGGGGTTTCAAATCATCAAATGATTTAGATTACGCTAGTGTTATTATGACACATAACAATAGCTATACTATCTGTAAAATTGATAACGTAGTGGGGGTGGGGAGGTGTAAGAATTGGCCAATAGTGATAACCTAATTACGTAATATGTGAACTGTCCCTAAATCATTCGACACAATACCGTGTCAATAACTATTATTTAAGTACGTTACGTGAATTGTCGCGTACAGACGGTAAAGTGATCGACCCCAGGAGGTGACCGGGAATCCCGGTACCGGGATTGGCAATTTTGAGCTATCCCGGTCCCGGTCAACCGGGTCAAGTCACATTTTTCATCCCGGTCGCGGTCCCGGTCCGGGGGTGATGCAACGTCAATTAATGTCAGTATTCCATAAAAACCCCAAACTGACATTGACATTAATTGACATTAATTGACATTAATTTGTCTTGAAATTTGAGATTATCATTAATCGATAGATATTCACGTCTATGTAAGTTAGACCGGTTCAAAAAAAAACAAAATGTCCTTGAATAATTATGATTATGTTCTTATCTGTTGATCCTGAGGTTCAAAGACCACCAAAAAAAATTTAGCTTCCAACTCTTCCATCTTCGGTCCCCACCGGCCACGCCCATATTTTATTGGTTTCTTATACAGGTAAAATATCTAGAATCGGCTTTTTTAGCATGAAGGAGTAATGTTAGCTGTTTAAGATTCGTTATTCAAATATAAATGTCATGAAGGCATTTCGTTTAATGTGGGTTTTAAGTTCTGATGATGTTGAGAACCACGCCCTTGGATGGCCACGCCCATTTAAGAAAATTAAATTTCGGAAAACCGTTTTATTTTAGTTTTATTGTTTAATGATCTGAATTTTTCACATTTCACATTTCCATATGTGAAAGTAGTGAATAAATTGATGATATAAACGTTCTAAAGTGCTAAAAATATGGTAGAACTACATAATCTCTGGTCGAAAAATATCGTGTCAATTAATGTCAGTATTCCAAAATTTTGCAAAACTGACATTGACATTAATTGACATTAATTGACGTTGCATCACCCACCCCCCCCCCCCCCGGTCCCGGTCAAATGCTGATTTATGATCCCGGTCCCGTCCCGGTTAATTCAGGATTCTTGGTCCCGGTCCCGGTCCCGGTCCCGGTCAATCACTCAAATTTGCCGGGATTTTGACCGGGATCTTTCACATAATTTCATTCACTGTGATTTTAAGTTTTTACTTTCATTCATTGTGAATTTCATCTTTAAACAACCTCTGAGCCAAATAACACAATGTTTAAAATTGCTAAACAAGTTTAGGTAACTAATATCGTTACATAACTCATAAGTGCAAACTAACATCAAGTTTTCAACTCGGGCTACGCCCAATTGTCAATTGGAATTGGAGAATGAAACTGTTGAATAATTTGAGGGATCATTGATTGAGGAATGAGGAATGAGGGTGAACTTGAGTAATCAGTACATGAACATTATTGGTGTAGTACATTAGGCCCATGCCCCATATTGACGGTTTTTTAAAAGTTTTTTCTGATTTAATATTCTAGTTATTACTTATTCAAATTGTTCAATTATAATGTAAATGAAAGTTGCAGCTTTCAATATGAGAATACCAGTTTTGGTCCCGGTCATCCCGGTCATCCCGGTAAAATTGGATTGTTGGTCCCGGTCCCGGTCCCGGTAAGATAGAAATCCCAGAAATTATTGGTCCCGGTCACGGTAAATTGATAATCTCAGTCCCGGTCCCGTTCAAAGTCACATTTTGTATCCCGGTCCCGGTCCCGGTCCCGGTCAGGCCTAAAATCATGTCCCGGTCACCTCCTGATCGACCCTTTAGACTTAGTTACGCTACCACCTCTATCACCCCTTCAATCGCTCACCCCTACTAAGAGAAAGAAAACTTCGCCGGTTGAAGACGGTAGTTGATATTTGGGTTACAATGTTTTATTTTTTCTTCACTTACTGGTAATTTCCGTCAAAAATTTAAAAAGAATGTTCACTGTTAAGGACACAGTTTATTTTACATCCCAAACGTGTTGGGAATTTTCAAGATACCACATTCCATATGACACGTAACATGGATCATTCAACGTCAATTAATACAGCCACGCACTTATCCCATGAATTTGTGTTTATGTTTGTTTGTATATTACATAACCACTTTATATTACGTAATCAATCACTTTTCCGACAATTTGTACCCATGCAACTCATCCCACGTATCTGGAATATTATAAGACTTAGCTTATAAATTCTAAATAGATTTCTAAACGCACACCTATTTTTCAGGAGGTGATCTACAATAATGAAAGATGATCTATTTCTGGCCAGAAATTTGCGGAGTTCAATCATCTTGATATCAGTCTTGGCTGCAGTTGTATCTCTAAAAATCAGGTATACATTATTTTAAAATAAAACTATCCTTCCTGGCTTAAACCCTGGTTGTTAAAACTAAAAGCCGCCTTGCATATTCATCTTTGATTAGAAATGAATCAGATTTGTTAATTTGATAATTTCATGATAGAAGTTGAACATTTTCTCCTCATTTTCACACGTAGTAGCTTATTTTCTTTCCCTCAGTGACGGTTTGAGGAGACACTGCATCTCACTGCTCAGTGGAGACACGGGGATATGAAGCAGTTGTCACAGTCCGATCAGAGTAAGCAGCAAAGATAAAAAGAGACTTTACCTCTGATGTCAGACAGATAAATTTTGACGAAAACAGACCTCGGAGGGTTTAGTAAAGTAAACAGACTGGCTATGGTCCTAGTACAAGAGGAGGAGAACAAGATACTCGCAATCTGTACGACTAGTTACTCTCCAGTCTAAAAGGACTAGGACGAAGCAGACAAAGTGAAGAAGATTCTCGACGACCGGACCTAGCAGATAAAATAATAGCCGTTGGATTTGATACGACATCATCCAATACTGGAGTTCACAAAAGAGCATGTACTTCTCTTCAGCAGGTCCTCAATCGACAGATCCTCTGGATGGCCTGCAGACATCACGTCCTGGAGGCGGAGCTTGTAAGAGGATCTGCCTCCAAGCAACTGTTCGGTGACACAATATCACTCGAAGTAACCCTCTTCAAGATCATGAAGACCTCCTGGGAATCGATCTGCAGAACATCGTCCTTCCCGATATCCCTACGCGCTAAAGGAACGACGTAGTAGATATTCTATCCTTTATTAATCACATCCGTCAACTCAACAACCAGCCCAGAACATTACAAGGAATTCCTAGAGCTTGCTAAACTAATCCATAGAGAAAGCATAGATATGAAGAAAGGATACGTCTTCCAGATACAAAGACCTGGAGCTGACCACCATGCCAGATGGATGGCTAAGTCCATCTACATTCTACATTATGAAGATGGCTTTTCTTCACTAGATACCAATTCACTGTACGAAGAAGAGAAACGTGCAGAAGATGGCTCACTTTGTTGTCTTCGTTTATTTGAGAGCTTGGTTCAGCGCTCCTTTCCTTGAATCTACAGCCTCCGCCGACACCCGTTTGTTACAGAGTCTTCAAAGGTACAAGAGTGTGGACATAGTATCAGCCATCACCACGGCAGTCCTGAAGAGGCAAACATGGACCTGACTGAAAAGCTCGTCCCACAATCCTTGTTTGATAAAGACCTACCTCTAGAGCGAAGAGCTCTCCTTGCAGCAAGAATAGGCCAACAAACTCTTTGAGCCTTATGAACGTAAAATTATCTTAATTGATAAAAAATTATTTGGATATGTTTTCCTTTTATGAACCTCTTTATAATGACCAAATAAGGATGTTGGTATAATTTGTCGTAGTCGTACGGGTAATGGTTTTCAACATACGTTCTACACTCTAATTTGGGTTTAGATTTTTAATAGTCTCTAAGGACTACTTGAAGTAGTACGTGTTAAAGTATGCTACGTGCAGTTGGTCGAGTACTGAGTGATCAATCATCTTCACATGTTTACTGTTTCAGTTTAGTGTAGACCTTGTTGTAGAAACTCAGTACGGTGCTCCGCAGTTAATGTCATTCTGTATCATACGAAAATGCATAGCTAGCATGAGGTATGATAATCCCTCGTATCGGAATCTTTTACATATCTAATCGATTGAGTACCTGGGGACCCCGTTTTAGGTTTTCATACACGTATCAGTCATGAATCAAGCATATTTACTAAAATCTAATATTAATATAACTACTGTGTTTGAGAACACAAAGCCCGGGGTCCCCGGGTAAGTTAAAGCTGAAAATATTCTGAGTGATTTGTGTATTTGGTAATGGTACTGGCTATAGCACTGACAACTGTGAACTGAGCACTCTCGTGAATAGCTATTTGCCAATAGTTTACGAATGACTCCATTATTAACCGTTCTCTTTAAATTATGTAATAAAATTATTAGAATATGATCTTTAAATTATGTAATAAAATGATTAAAATATGAAAGTTGACATAAATTCTGTGATATGTCTACCACCTTTTTCCACTTGATTGTATTAACCTTTAGACCTCCGGCTTTTGTGTTCTTTAACACGATTGATATATAATATGGTGGAATGACATTGGTCGCGTTTTTGGTGTGGAATGCTAGGCGAGTTGTCGTGTGATCATTAACAATTCAGTAATAGTAATACTAGTTATACCATCATGAAACCTTTGATCCGTCAAAGTTCGGGATTGCAATTGCAAATTGACCAAAACAAATGAGAAACTTCATAAAGTATCACAACGCTACCGCACTAGTAACTTACAACATGTCGCTTGTCGGCTTGTTGCCACTCTTATCTGTCACATACTGCTTTTAAAAGGTCTACCGATATGCGATTATCATTACAAAACATATATTTTGCGCGCTCAGCATTCCACGCGCAAAAACGCGCCCGTCCGAGAGACCTGCGCGTATTAGAGGGTTCAGTCTCACCAGGCTATGTTAATGAACATAATAGCCTGGGGTCCTCAGGTAAACTGCGTGGACTGTCGCAAACCGACATTCTTCATTAGCTAGCGCTAGTTTACGCTAGATAGCGCTAGATGGCGCCGCGCTATCTAGCGCTAGCTGTCGCCACGCTAGATAGCGCTAGATAGCGCTATCTAGCGTGGACTGTCGCAAACCAAAATTCTTCATTAGCTAGCGCTAGTTTACGCTAGATAGCGCTATCTAGCGCTATCTAGCGCTAGCTGTCGCCACGATATCTAGCGTGGACTGTCGCAAACCGACATTCTTCATTAGCTAGCGCTAGTTTACGCTAGATAGCGCTAGATGACGCCGCGCTATCTAGCGCTAGCTGTCGCCACGATATCTAGCGCTAGATAGCGCTATCTAGCGTAAACTGTCACAGACCGACATTCTCCGCTAGATAGCGCTAGATAGCGCTAGATAGCGCTAGATAGCGCTGCGTCAGATGTCGTTGCGACATATAGCGTTAGATAGCGCTAGATAGCGCTAGATGTCGCAAAAAAAAGGCGGAAATTTTATGAAAATAGCGCTATCTGTCGCCTGGCGTCAGTGCTGCGTGCTTAGCGTCATCTAGCGTCATCTAGCGTCATATAGCGTCATATAGCGTCATATAGCGCTAGATAGCGCTAGATAGCGCTAGATAGCGCTAGATAGCGCTAAATAGCGCTAGATAGCGACATTCGAAAGGTGCCGTGCACTTAGCGACAATGTCGCTAATTGGCGTCATCTAGCGTCATCTAGCGTCATCTAGCGTCATCTAGCGTCATCTATCATCATCTGGCGATATTTCACGCTAGATGACGCTAGATGACGCTAGATGACGTCATATGTCGAATTTCAACTATCAGTAAAGGTCCCCAATCAGGGCATTGATTGAGTGAAGATATCACTGACCCACTGATTAGTGATTAAGTGCTGGATTACGTATCTGCAAGATCTTGAAAGGGTAATAACTTAATTAAATTGTTAACAATCAACTTGAAATTTTGGGAAAGCACTTCCATTATCAAACCAAATGTGTCTAGAAATTTTGAAGTTCCTAGCTGAAAGCGTTATCTCTTAATGGTGACAATAGTGAAAAAAAGGGAGTGGCGTGCCCCACCCACTGTAATTAATTACATCTAACGAAATTTTCAGGAAATCTAAGTTTGACCCATATCTATAGTCTCTGAAATTTAGTGTGTAGTGTGTAGTGTGTAGTGTGTAGTGTGTAGTGTGTAGTGTGTAGTGTGTAGTGTGTGTTGTAGTCATAAACATTTAACTTAACTAACTTAATTAACTTAATCTAAGTAATTAAATACAAATGTAACTTTACAGCGGGACACATCATATCGCAGTGCCAGAGTAACAGAGTATAACTCTAGCACAGGGCCTGACCTACTGCACCGCTATGTGAAGCGGTGGTTTGTTTGGCCGTTACTCATCGCATTTACATCACACCTGGAATATCACCAATAGATTACACTATGTTACATCTGAATTAATTAGAAAGTTGATCATTATCATTATTACAAGATTTGATATTACTAACGTTTAGGGAAAGGGGAGTCCAGCCTGAACTTTGCAGACATCCATATTGTTTGCATGTGATGACTGGCCTATTGGCTAAAAAGAACAAATGGGCATGCTGCACCGGTGGGCGGTTTCAGGACCTCTTCAAAGGTCGTCAACAGGTTGTTAATTGTTGGTCAGGCTGCGATCTGAAACAAGTTTCACAGAAATTCAGGTGAACACCTCCCATTACCAAAGAGACTAATAAGAACGTACCCAGCAGCAATAATGAGTTTAGCACAGAGGACCCTTGTTCCATCGTGCGGCACTGTGCAGTGGGGTCCAACCATCATCTGGTTCTACTGTCCTATCTGCCCCTGTAACTCCAGCATTAGTTTACAGCAATAATAAGAGCAATTTAGTTAGAGCAATCATTAGAGCAATCAAATTATAATAGGGCAATTAGTTTAGATAATTAATTAGAGCAATTAATACGACAAGCAATTAGGGCAGTCAATAAGAGCAGTCATTGGAGCAGTTAATTAGAGCATTCACTTGGAGAAATTGACGTCCAAAAACCCACTAATAGATTGAGGCTAGTTCCTTGTTTGGAAAGTGAGATTTAAGTACTGGCCTCACAGGTTAGAGCACTGTTAAAGAAAGAAGGATTGGGGCCGGGGGGGCAGGGGGCCGGGGGGCAATGTCGGACCGTTTAGAAGCAGGAACTCCACAATATCCTCCCACCCCTGATAACAACTCGTGTAGAGGAGTGTAACCGTCAGTGCCTAGTAGTTGATTACATCAGGTTCCCAACAGTATCGCCTCAACCATGGCAGTACAGCCTTGTTCCGGCTGCTTTTAGTAGACGCTCCCGTAGGGCGGTACCTGGAGGGGTTAGCAGGTGGTCACTAA